TCTGCACATTGCAACATTGCTAACATTGTTAAGATTGTTGGCCATTCTTAAAGGAGAAGTATAAAACAGATTGTACAATCCAGATTGCAGTTTGCACACATTGCAACAATCTGTACATTGCAACATTGCTAACATTGTTAAGATTGTTGACCATTCTGAGGAGAGTAGTATAAAACAGATTGTACAATCCAGATTGCAGTTTGCACACATTGCAACAATCTGTACATTGCAACATTGCTAACATTGTTAAGATTGTTGGCCATTCTAAGAGAAGTATAAAACAGATTGTACAATCCAGATTGCAGTTTGCACATATTGCAACAATCTGTACATTGCAACATTGCTAAGATTGTTAAGATTGTTGGCCATTTTGAGACGAGAAGAATAAAACAGATTGCACAATCCAGATTGCAGATTGCACACATTGCAACAATCTGCACATTGCAACATTGCTAACATTGTTAAGATTGTTGACCATTCTGAGGGGAGAAGTACAAAACAGATTGTACAATCCAGATTGCAGATTGCACACATTGCAACAATCTGCACATTGCAACATTGCTAACATTGTTAAGGTTGTTGGTCATTCTGAGGGGAGAAGTACAAAACAGATTGTACAATCCAGATTGCAGATTGCACACATTGCAACAATCTGCACATTGCAACATTGCTAACATTGTTAAGATTGTTGGTCATTCTGAGGGGAGAAGTATAAAACAGATTGCACAATCTAGATTGCAGATTGCACACTTTGCAACAATCTGCACATTGCAACATTGCTAACATTGTTAAGATTGTTGGTCATTCTGAGGGGAGAAGTATAAAACAGATTGCACAATCTAGATTGCAGATTGCACACTTTGCAGCAATCTGCACATTGCAACATTGCTAAGATTGTGAAGATTGTTGGCCATTCTGAGAGAAGCATAAAACGGATTGTACAATCCAGATTGCAGTTTGCACACATTGCAACAATGTGCACATTGCAACATTGCTAACATTGTTAAGATTGTTGGTCATTCTGAAAGGAGAAGTATGAAACAGATTGCACAATCCAGATTGCAGTTTGCGCACATTGCAACAATCTGCACATTGCAACATTGCTAACATTGTTAAGATTGTTGGTCATTCTGAGAGAAGTATAAAACAGATTGTACAATCCAGATTGCAGATTGCACACATTGCAACAATCTGCACATTGCAACATTGCTAACATTGTTAAGAGTTTTGGCCATTCTGAGAGAAGTATAAAACAGATTGTACAATCCAGATTGCAGATTGCACACATTGTAACAATCTGCACATTGTAACATTGAGAGAAAAGTATAGAACAGATTGCAATTCAGATTGCAGATTGTCAACAATCTTACAAAAAAATGCAATGTGTAAGTGATTTAACATAGGAGTCAATGGAGAAACAGATTGTTTTCAGGTTGCTGGAGGTACCCTATTGGCCATAGCTAGACAAGTTCTGCCAGAAAACTGAATTTTAAAATGGCCGTCGGTGTTAGTACAACGTGTGTGCCATTTCACGTTGTTCCTTAACCTGGAAATGTAGGTGGAGCAGTTTTGTTGAAAGTTTATATGTGAATGTTTCAGAGCATATTACACTCAGACCAATTTGGCTGATAGGCAGATACTCGGCCATGGCTGTTCCCTAGGACTTGCTACTCCATGACGTTGCTGTTATCTAATTTCATAAGTTTCTCAGTTGAAATACTAGAATCTGATTGATCAATAAGCGGTGAAAAAATACCCATGGTATTGCAAGATAATGATTTTAGAACAGAACTAGAAAAAGAACTTAAACTATGCATGAATTCCGTGATCATAAACTACCGCGAAATAATGAGTAGTAAATAAAATGTAGAAACCTATTACTAAATGATAGAATTAATGAAACAGATAAGTATGAAACTAATATTGAATTAACTTAGATTCAATAAACGCATATATAATGATTTGCTAGAGGCCAAGAGGTGCGAAAACATAAGTCTTTGAGTAATATGTGAACGTCTGATCCGTTTTCTAGAGCCTGTAAATTTGATTTGCTTCAACGAAATGAATTTGAATTTATTGAAATAGTCAGTTGACGTTTATATCCATGTATTCATTCAGCAGATTTTTTACTATTCAAGACGCGTCGGATTTGATTGACATCGAAGGTCTGCGCTCAACCATGTTATGCTGTCCATGTAGAACAAACCTATTTCCCCTAGTACTACAAATTATGAAATCAAGTAGCTAGCAATCTGTTTTTCAACAATTCTAAAATTTGATTGCAAATGACAAAAAATGATTTGAAGAATTAAAATCTTTTTTTTCAAAAATGGTATATACTGTTTCATCGCTTTATATAAATTATGTACATGTACTAATAACCAATGTATGTTTTTGAAAAACTAACAATGAACGTAGTCATATTGGGCTATAATAAAAAATTAATTGACAAGAATCAAAAACACAATAATCCCGCTATTATGTTACCATATAACGGATAAGAATTTAATGACCCCTTTATCATATGCGGCAATCTTATTACACAGCTTTATTAGCTTATCCTCAAACAGGCTAGTTAGATCCACATATAAAACGTGGACATTTATCATCGAAGAATTGGATCTGTTACGCGAGAACAAATATTTTTTCTTCCAGTCTGATGAATTGTGAGTCAAAATACGACATGCCCAGTCGTTTACACTAATGTCGTTAGATCAATTAAGCATACAGTTTTAACACACTATGGCCCCTTATTTTCAAAAATAATTTGAGATCGCCAAATATTTCTTCCGTATCTACGATGAGATGTACCTAAAAGGTGGAACATTTTGAGGTACGAACCATTTCTGAGTACAATTATCTGAAAACCAAATGAAGTTACCTTTGCTTCATTTGGCGTAAATATGATAAAAAGTAATTGTACATACCTGTATGGTATTCTAAACGCAAAAATCTACAGGTCCTCGCTCAGTGAGTCAACTCAATGTGGGTGCGCAAGTCCTCGTTGCACAAGTCCGCTTTTAAAGTTCTGCTTTTCTAGCGTTCTTGATCAAGTTCTTGAAGTCTTCCAAATATATCTGCTTTATGTTGTGCAAATGAAAAAGGACAGGCACACCAAACACCCGTCTTATATAAACTCAAAAACTTGAATATAATTGTAATTATAGAATTTTATGACGATTGCTAGTAGATAGCTAGATATGTTTGCGATGAAGTTTTACGTAGGCCGAAGCGCAATAATATATAATATATCATTACGATACACCAGAGAGGTGATCGATAAAATGATTTTCGGGAAAGATGAGATGCACTTGGTGCTTTCTGATACCTACAGCCTGCAGGTGAATCTTTGTTGTGCACGATATCAATGGGGATGTGAAATATCATCTTCGTGATTAAATCTACATTTCTTTTTCTCTATACGGTTATTTTTCATTATATTAAGTAATGTGCCTTTTAAACACATATTTTGAGGGCATTTATCCGTTTTGTTTGCACTCTGGTTGTGGCTTGCTCTATTGATTTATTACTCTATTGCATGCCTTTTAATCATTCTTAATGATGTCGCTCAACTTAACCACCATCGTGATTGCTTTTCATGAGTTTGCTTTGTGTGCGCTCATTATGAATCGCGTTATCGAAAATGGTGCAATCGGGGAACAAATGTTGAAAGCAAATGAACTAAAAAAACTGACGACAATCAACATATTTCAAAGCGCTGATAACTTTGAACTTTGGCCAAAACAGTAATTGTTGTCCGCCCTAGTACGAACAAGACGGATGATACCACGTAAGATATTTATTGAATGCATGCGAAGAAAATACAGCTTGTTTCTTAAGAGAAAGTTGTAAATGTTGTAAAAATAATCAAATTGACAGTTTCCAATATCCTTGACGCACCTCTTAATAATTAGGTTTAATCGTTCGCAAAGAACAATCAAAGCTCTGTGACATGTAATTTGATTTATAGCTCTCCTACAATCTTTGTGGCTTTTGAGGAGATTTTATGTTGTTATACAGAGGTATTTAATAGGAACCCGAGGATAGGAATAAGAATCGATTTGTCTACTCAGCAATAGAAGTGACGTCTTGTACAGTCGCCAAAAAGTGGACAGAGTGTAACTCAGTTTTCTTTATGAGCCAATTATTCTAGAGGTCCATGGTTATATTAACACGTCATGTACATTTTATTATATCCGTAGTCATATTGAGCAAAAATTTGTATTTACATATTACCTAATGTAGGAATGTGTATTTAATATTTTAATTAGAAATACTACTAAGATGCAAACTTTTTGCAAGGGTCAAATTTCAGTCTGAGAGTCAACACAGTATTTCATATGACTACAGTGCATTATGTAACCAATCACTGCACTGAAGGATCTAACCCCCCATCCAAACATAACATTTTTATCATACTTGTTAACCAACTTCACATTGTAATTATGAGGGTTTTATTTACATGACGTTATGGGTGGCCCCCAAAATAAGGGAGGGTCCCAAAAAGAAGAAAATAGGGCCCTGATCTTGAAAAATAATACCGAAATTTTTTTAAATCATTGCTATTAAGGAACACAACTCGGAAAATTTAGTCCCTACGGGCATGTACATGTCAACTTTTCCGCCGCTTTCATTTTTAATTAGACTATAATTATAAAATGTAAAAGAATAAATAAACCATATTTAGTATTTTTACCCGAGCTCAAGGAGGATTGGAAGCCAGGGTTCCAACTCGATATTCTTTAATCTCCACGCATGCGTCATTTGCTATTCGTGTCTGTATAATTTGTACGACTGCATGGAGAATGACCCGATACTCTCCAACAAAGCTATCGCTAGGTGATTGTTTTGCAGAATATCGGTGTTGCATTCTGGGAGCCAATCCTCCTTGCCCGAGCTTGAGAAAGCTGTTAAATGCGTTGTCGTAATTTACGGCGGCCATAGTTGGATGTTGGCTATAGCGAATTATATTGTAGCAGAGCACTGTTCTTACACAGAAACCTATTGCTTTATGGTAAACTTTGATTTTGTTTTTTTGTTTTTTAACTTTAGTTAAAAATGAATTAATTGCTATTTTCCGCAGAGTACGCGCTTCTAACATAGAGCATATGAAAGGGAGGAGTGGCTTGTTTCCCGCGGAGGGAGTATACTAAATTTTGCAGTCAGTTCTACACCCGGTTTTGCACAAAAACGTAGAGGATGAGAAGAAGTCACAGTGACATTGTCTGTTGTACAGTACTCGAATCTCTAGCCAATTACTAATTAGGCTACTTGCACATTCGTGGCCGAAGAAGATAAACCCCTCCCTCTTAAACTCTGAAGATAATATTAGGGGGTGAAGGGGGGATGTGTATGTTTGGAATTTTTATCAGTCATCGTCATGTAATTTTCAGGATTCAAACATGACTGCAGCATACATGTACTTATAAGAAACAAAAAGACCTCGTTCTGCCAACTAACCCAGACAATCGGCGGTTCCAATATATTAGAAGTTACATTCTGAGTTCTAGAATGCATTGAGGTAGGTTTCTTAAGTGGAAGGGGCGTAGATAAATTTGGAGTAGCCAAATACAGATACCCTATCCCGGGTATCCAATAATGAATGTTCTACGTGTATCAATTTATTGCTGTTTTATTTGTCTAAAATCTTGTCTTATGTTGTTGTTATGGGAAGTGCGCATGCGTCATTAATGGCGGATGTTTTCTTCTCTTACGAAAATTAAATCATAATTACAACGATTACCTGCGCAATTCTAATTTATTCTCGATAAAACCTCCAGATTTTAATAACTTACATACTTACTTCTAATAATCAACGACATTTAAATTATAGCAGGACCCCCTTTTGGGGATAAATCAGTTTTAATTTTCGTATTTTTCAAACTTCGGTTTTCGCGGTATTTTTCATATTTTTGCGCGAATTTTCTTATTTTCAGCTTACGGGTTTTACCTACCTCTTCGTCATGGGTTTCCAAGGATATGGATTGCTCCTTCTCTGCTTTGTTTTCGCAGTCCAGTCATTTTTCTGTGATCATGGAAACCACTTACCTTCAACAGAGTCATACACACAGTTGATGCAACTGCGACGTTTCCATAAGATTGTTGGCTCTCGTGGAATCCTTCACAAGAAATCTTCCACACCACTGCTCTTCCTATGTCTTATTCTTAGTGGTGACATCCACCCAAACCCAGGTCCTGTTAAATTTCCCTGCGGTATGTGCCACAAAGCAGTTGCCAAGAATCATCGCGCCCTTGAATGCGATGAATGCGGTACATGGGTACACATCAAATGTGGCAATGTTTCCCCTGCTGAGTACAATGTTTTTCTTGAAGCGGGCAGTTTCACTTGGATCTGTCCTGGATGTGCTCTACCTAATTTTTCCAACAGCTTCTTCAATGACTCCACTCTTTCTCATTCCTCGGTAACAAACTCCTTCAGCGCTCTCTCTGATCTTGACAATCTGTCATCATCATCTGATTCTACCGAATCAGAACCACCGAGGCCGACTGCACGAAAGAGGCGAAACCAGGTTCGCCTCATGTCTATCAACTTCCGCAGTCTAATTAGTCATGAGAAGCAACTACACCTTCAACAACTAATTGAAACTCACAAGCCAGATGTCATCATAGGCTGTGAGACTCACCTGGACAACACCATCGACAGCAAATGGATATTCGGTCAAGACTACCTTAGCCCACCTCCATACAGGAAAGACCGAAAGAAAGGTGCTGGCGGTGTCCTAATCGCAGTCAAAAGTGACTTCATATCAGTCGAATATGAAGCGACAGCTGATTGCGAAATCATATGGTCCAAAGCATCTCTATCAAATGGGGACATACTGTTTGGATCCTTCTATCGTCAACCAAACAACGATACTGGTGCTTTGGACTCGCTCCAAACATCCCTCGATAAACTTTATGCTAATGGTAATACACATACAGCGGTGGCGGTAGGCATATATTTTTGTGAGTCATCATGACTCAGGTAGTTTCAAAAAAGTGAGTCACAAGAAAAAAAGTTGAGTCAAAGCTATAAAAGTGTTTTTCTTGAGTAAAAATGCATACAAAATGTAGAAACCACATACAAAATCTATTTTTTGATTTTGTGCATACCTTTTATTGTACTCTTATAGCACATTAACAACTAACAATTAATTAATTAGGCAATTGCAAGAAAAATGTCACTATTAATCATCTGATTATCTGGTCCAGCGAGTCATGGGTGTGAAACTGTGAATGGAGTGGGAGAGGAGTTTCTCCCTGTGTGGAGTTACACAAATTGGGGTCAAAGCGTTTCATGTTGAAATTCAACATTTTTGCAATCATTCCAAAGTCTAAAACGGCAATATAAGTCCGACCACAATACTGGGCATCATTTAAATTGAATACGGTAGAATCATGTAATTATAGCTGATCAAATGAAACCGAAAGTAGATTTGTTTTCATACCTAATTTATCATCATTACCCCCCTTAATGTGCGATCGACTGGATTTTCATGTGCCCATTATCTATCTTCATAGGATCAGCTTCAGATCTAGTGAATCGAAGATCTTAACTTGAGGGAGTTAATTGAAAATACTTGGTGAAAACTTACGATAGATCGGTCACTGTGAGCACCATTGATAAACCTACTGCGCATTACATCTGCGCATGCTGATGAGGGGGACGGCTCAAGGAAACTTGCTAACTTAGCGAAGGAATTTTGCGAACTTGCGAAGGAAACTAAAGGTTCGTAAATCTAGCGTGTGAACATTCAAGGGAAGATTTTATGCGGTAATTTAGATAAATATACGATCACTAAAATCCTTAGAAGGGAGTATGAAATTAATAAATTATTGTTCAATGTTATGTTCGTTTTATTGCATTTTTGATACGCCCCCTAGCAACGTGCTTCACGAGATAAACAAATCGAGGGATCGATCAATGTTTTCAAGTTTATCATTGAATCTGAATCACAGGGCTTTAAAAATTATATGAAATACCGAAATGAGAAAATGATCGGTAGGAAGGAGGCTCGATTGCGCTGAACGAAATGTTAGATATCCGGAATTAGCAAAATTATAAATTTGATCAATCACGTATTTTCACGTATAGGGATCAATTTAACCAAGTACCAAGCGGGGATTTTGCATGTGAAACAAACGTGCGTCAGAAAGACTCGGTAGACAATGAATATTTGCGTCAGAGTTGCAAAAATGTGAGTAAAAAACGTAAAAAATTGCGTTAACGCCACCTCTGACATATGAAAAACATCTTCCTATGTGGTGACTTCAACTTACCAGACATCGATTGGGAGGATGGAACTATAAGGCCTAATTCTCAATATTCTAATGATCTTAATGAGAAGATGATTACAATAACTGATGATCATGGCCTAACCCAATTAGTCAAGGAACCAACTAGACAAAATAACATCCTTGACTTAGTATTCACTACATGCCCAAACCTCGCAGAAAGAATCTCGGTGGTTCCGGGCATGAGTGATAACGAGGCAGTCCTATGTGATATAAACCTAAAAATGAAAATTCAGAAAAAGAAGCCTCGTAAGGTCCACATATACAAGCGGGCAGAATGGACTGGACTTAAAGAGACTCTACGATCTAAGTTCAGCGAATTCAAAGAGAACTGTGAAAGTAGATCAGTTGAAGACAACTGGTCCTCCTTCAAATCTACATTAATATCGTCAATCAATGAGCATATTCCAAGTAAAACTCTAAGTGGGAAATTCAAAGTACCCTGGATTACCACCAGGATACTGAGAATGATCCGACAGAAACAAAGACGATATAATGTTGCCAAACGTTCAAATGAACCTCATCATTGGCATAAATACAAATCACTACGGAAATTAATCCATAGTGAAATTCGTAAAGAACATCAGCGCTACATCAACGATCTGCTTGACATTGATGAAAACGAAATCATAAATGAGAATGTTCAGCACAAAGGCATTACCAAACGCTTCTGGAGCTATATAAAGTCTAAACGCAAAGATGCATCAGGTATCAGCGTGCTGCGTAACAAAGATGGCGACGAAATAACAGACGCCGCCCAGAAAGCAAACATCCTCAATGACCAATACAATTCTGTATTCACAGATGAGGATGCCACTCTACCGACAATGGTACCTAGTCAAATTCCTGAAATGCCAAATATCAAAATTTCGACAAAAGGAATTCACAAATTGCTAACTGGCCTAAATCCATCAAAAGCCACTGGACCCGATCTTATTCCGACTAGGGTCCTGAAGGAATGCAGTGACAGCATATCACCATTCCTTCAAATAATTTTTCAACAGTCTATCGATGAAGGATTAGTGCCTTTGGACTGGAAACATGCCAATGTTACTGCTATCTACAAAAAGGGACGAAGAGATGAGGCTGTGAATTACAGGCCTGTATCTCTGACGTCAGTTCCATGTAAAATAATGGAACATATTATATTCCATCATGTTATGGCCCACTTTGACCTCTATGAAATTCTAGTAAAATTCCAACATGGATTCAGGTCAAAGCACTGATGTGAAACACAACTTGTCAATACAATAGAGAATATAGCTCGGGCCCTCGACAACAATAAACAAACAGACATGTTGGTATTAGACTTTTCCAAAGCGTTTGACACGGTGGCTCACGAACGCCTCTTGCTCAAACTCGACTATTATGGAATTCGCAATAATAACTTGAACTGGTTCAGATCCTGGCTTGTGGGAAGATCACAACAGGTAGTGCTCGATGGTGAATCAAGTTCAAAAACTCCAGTAAAATCAGGAGTTCCTCAAGGAACAGTTCTTGGACCACTCTGTTTCCTTGTTTATATCAATGATATGGGCAATAACCTATCATCCTCAGCCAGTCTTAAGCTTTTTGCCGACGACAGCCTTTTATTCATGACAGTCGAAAGCAAGCAAGATGCATTAACACTACAGGAGAATCTTGATAAACTGGTCTCCTGGGCATCAACATGGCAAATGAAATTCCATCCATCAAAATGCTATGTGCTGAATATTCACAAAGGTAAATCCCCTATCATGCACAATTACACCATGCTAGGGGAAAACCTTAAGTCGGTAACACACATCCCATACCTAGGAATTGACATCACAAATAACTTACGCTGGACTACACATATTCAAACTATTGTATCCAAAGCCAATAAGGTGCTTGGATTTCTCAGGCGCAACCTCCATCAATGCCCTGAAAAAGTGAAGGCTCAGGCGTATAAGTCACTAGTCCGGCCTAATTTAGAGTATGCCAGCTCGGCATGGGATCCATACCGACAAAAAGATATTGATATGTTGGAACAGGTACAGAGAAGAGCAGCCAGGTTTGTAACCAAATGTCACTCAAGGGAACCAGGCTGCGTCACCAAAGCTCTTCAAGACCTACAGTGGGAGCCACTGAAGGAGCGTCGAGAGGCTGCTAGAGTTTTCCTTTTCTACAAAGGAAAGCAGAACCTAGCAGCCATCGACGTGCCTCCATACTTCCGCCAACAGATCAATACCAACACTAGGTTGTATCATCCTTCTAAGTTCATACAACCATCAGCTAGAACGGATGTATACAAATTTAGCTATTTCCCTAGGACAATAGCTAAATGGAACACTGTACCTGGTGACATCTTAGACTGTGACAGTCTAAGTAGTTTTAAATCATCATACTATGCCTATGTCAATAACTGCAATTAAATAGGTGTGTTTTAATATAGATCTATGTTTTAATGTAAAGGGTCCCCAGTGCACAGCAACAAGCCTGCACTACTGGTAAAAGGGGGTGATGTCAACGCGGTTAGCCTGACAGTCTCCCCAGGTAAAATGAGTTGTAAACCATAGATCTATTTTTAAATGTTAAGGTTTTAAATCATATTCTATTCAAATTCTATCACTGTTAAATTATATATCTGCTTTATATGGGCTTATTAGCCTTTTGCAGATTATTGACATAGACATAGACAATTCTCCCAAGTTGTAATCGTACAGGCAAATGTATGCGCTCAGTGCAGGACCATAGTCCTGGAACGGGATAAACATGTACCTGTGCTCTAATTGAGAAATATAGACCGAAGAGGAAGTGTTATAATATCGACGAATACAGCCCGCAGGCCTAGACACAGAGGTTGCAGGTGTTGTGCCTAGCCATAAGGGATATATTTGTCATCCCGGTGTTGTTGATATTACACCTGCTGTGTATTTTACAATTCGAACATGAAAACTCACCCAGATTTTTCAATTAATCATTTAATAGTCTGCCATTACTATGGCCTGCTGTTATGATGTCACCCATTACTCTTATTACCAGGGGTAGTGTTGATGAATATACGGGACCTCGAGTGAAATGTTATAGAAGGCATGAATACAGTCATCTTCGAGTTCTCCATGATGAACGACCATGCATCTACTCATGGAATCTACTCAATCATTTGGGAATCTATGCATATGTTGTACTATGACGTCACATCTGGGAATGGCAAAAATAACAGAAAGTTTTGGTTATTTCATGAGCCTCAAACCCCCTCATTTCCAAAATGGAGGATGGTACTTGAATGCGAGTATTTTACAGTTCAACTTAAAAATCAATAAAAACCTGGGATGCAGACGGACATATGAGCTAGCATTGCATGTTAAGATTAAATGAAATTACATTTATGTTTATTACAACTGTATGTTAACCTCAATAAGAATACTCCAGGTGCCCTATTTAAAAGCAAATTCAATACAAATAGTGTCTTAAGTTATTTATATTCTATGGCCACACTGTGGCCAGACAGAATATGGTAATATACGATATACATCTTTCACATTTGCACATTGAGTGCACTAAGGTTATTTCTTCATATTTTTGATAATACAAAATAAAAAAGATCGATTTAAAATATAGATTTGGACATGTTTTTCTTTCCCTAAAATACAACATCGCTTGCCTATATGCCTAACAGCCTTATATCAGGATATATATGTAATATTCCTTGATAGTTAGAAAATAACTTGGGTAAAATGATTCATCATAGATTTTATTTTTCAGATTTGAGGGGTATACATGGTATATGATGTTTGGCAATTCTCCCAATGGCCCTGAGTGCAGTTACCTGCAAAGTGTTGACACCCCAAATATGGAGAATAAAGCTGATTTGTACCATAACGTATAATAGGATACATAAAGCTTCTCAAACTATTCTGTCTTCAGAACTATTTTCTACACCAAAACATCTGCAAATATATGCACGAAACTTGGTTTATACCATGGATATCACTCCTCCGATTGGAGCATTTGTTTGCCAGCCACTTTCAAAACCTATTCATTCTCAGAAGACTACTATTACCCAATCAGTGGTCGATAAAGTGACAAAGCCTGTCCATACACAGGAGAACACTGTTGCTCAATTAAAGTTAGTTACAGAACAAGTTAATGAGACTAACATAAACACCAAAACCTATTTATCAGCAGATCAAATCACTAAATTCAAGAACGATGACAAGGATAAAGCGATTAATGATACAAGTACTACTAGATATGCTATGACTGAAATTGACACAGGTGATACATGTACAAGTGAGAAAGTGAAAATAAACAATGATGACACTCCAATAGAAATATTTACTCCATTTACTCCAATAATTGTAACAGGACCCCCTGATCCAACCAAAGCTCACCAAATAGGAGCCACCCAATCAACAGATCACCCAGATACAACTATGAAAAGTATCAAAAGAAAATTGACAACAGAATGTGATAGAGATAGTTCTGAATATTCTCAATCAACAACAAAGAAAAAAAGCATTTTACCGAAGAGTTTACTTTCTCAAGTGACATCTTTTATACAGGATAATAAGCAAATTATGGATGCTTCAAAGTTAGATAAAACAACATCTAGAGTAGGAAAGTCTCATATTGAACAAAAAAAGAAGAAAAAATCTAAAACTAATACCAACGAGAGATTGAATGAGGATGGGTGTGAGGCTCAAGATACAACTGATAATGGTGAAGATGCAAATATTGCTGCAAGTGAACTTAATCATGATTTGATTGATACTCTTATGTTGAGCAGTAAGTCCACATTTATATAGAAATAGGGTAAAAGGTTGTTGCATTTGCTTTTTATATTCTACAGTACCTGTACATGTACAAGGGCCGATCAAAAAGTTTCTTACCATCGGCTGTCATTTTTATAATAAGAGGAGTTGGAAGCTACTACCCTGTCTAATGTAAAAGTTTGAGCATCCAACTCCTCTTATTATAAAATCTAGAGCCAACGGTAAGGAACTTTTTGATCGGCCCTTGTACATATAGAGGCACATCGTAAAGTCACCTTGAAAGGTTTCTAGGTGTGTCTTCAAATGTTAATGATTATTGAACATACTGAAAAGTTATCAATTGACATTGTTAAAATGTTGATTATAACAAGTACCAGTACGATAAATATCAATTGATATAAATTACTTTTTTTTACAGATGAGTCAAAAAAGAATAATCAAGAAAAATCATTGCGCAGAAAAAGAAAGAAGAAGGATTTTTCGACTGAAATGGCTACGAGACGTCCTAACTACTTCCTGTCACTTCAGATACATAATCCTAAGGTAAATTCTTCATGTCCATAAATGTATTTGTAAAGTTATCTCGGCAGTTTTAGTATTTTTATTTGCCATACGGTTACCACACACCAAAATATGACATGTTTGAGTGTGTATATATGCAGTCTAATGAATTACTAAATTGTTGTGTATGATTAAACCATGCAAATTCAATGCCATTTAGAAATACATGTACAGTGAAAAGTTGGAAGAAGATATTGCTGGAAAAAAACAAAGGGAGTAAAATTACTCAAAAACAATATATTAGATACAAGGGAAATAATGGTTTTATTTTTTCAGATTCATGAAAAGTGTCGTGAGGTACAAGAAACTGTGGTAGAGCAGGAGAGGGCTTTAAAGGGTGCACTTGTAGCACTGTCTACACTACACATTACACTGATGGTCATTCAATTGGAGAACAAAGACCAAATTAAACGGTAAATGACTTTTGGGATCTGCTCTTTCTTTGAAACCCATTACCCATTTTATAACAATATTTGTAATATTTTGAAACCCAGCACAAAACCAATTTTCCAAAACCCATCACATCATTTTTTCTTTCTATATGTAACACATTTAATGGATTGTAAATACATACTGTTAGGAGGTGGAGGGGGGGCTTAAGCCTGCTCAAATGTATTGGCCTTCGTTCTCCCATCTAGCTCAAAGTGACAAACTCATTGTCTTCTGCTTTTCCCATAACAAAATGTAACATTTTTGCAATTTTTGTTAATTGAGTCCTCATATTGTAAGACTTATAAAATGCATGCAGGCAGTTTCCTATGGCTTTAAATGGCTGATCCATCTATTGATGTCAGTGGAACAAATTGATTGATCCACAATATTTAGAATACATGATTTGGATGATGTCATCCATTTTTTACCATTTTTAGAGCAACCATAGCAATGGACAACTGTCAGAGACTTTTAGCTTCCACACTTAAAAATCTTGTTACTATTGAAATAGAGGGGATATCTCACTTCCGTAATGCTGTTCTGTATGCTGATATAAAACCTGGTCCAGGGCTAGACATGTTGCATAAAATTGCAGGTATTTGAAGCATTTTTGTTTTACTCTCCCATTATTTCAATTATCCAAGTTCCAAGTTTGCCAAACATTCTTTAAAAATCATGGTTTTTCACTATTTTGAGCAATTTTCAAGTGATTTAGGCCATTTTTGAGCCAAAGTTGCCAAAAGTGAATCCCCCTGGAATTTTTTAAAAAGTGAACCCCCCTTAGCAAATCCTGGCTACGAGCCTGCTGGGTGCAGTCATTTTTAAGTTTTAGATTTCAAGATGGTATATTTCAAGTAATAGTGCATAGATGTAGTCTCCAACTGTTGGTGTTCAGCAGTTGGTGTTTGGCATTCATTATATCATTAATATCAGTCCGATCATTGACAATAAGTGTGTAAATCTGGGAAAGCACCATTAAATGTTTTGCCTTGGTATTCCTCTAAGCAATATCTGTAACCATGGCAACATATATAGAATTGTTGTTGTAGAGTAGCAAGAAATTGAAACGTCAGGTAGAGTTAAAAAACATCTTTTACTCTACTTATACTGTTTTGTAACCTACTGCACAGCTGGTGATATATTGTTAATCTCTTGTTTAGTTTATAAGCGTGTCTTCTGTAGATGCTGTGAAAGAAACATTTCGTCAGGAGGGTATTGAATCTACAGATGATAAGGGACTTACACCTCATCTTACATTGATGAAACTTTCAAAGATGAGGACAAAAAAAGTGAAAAAGGTAAATAATATAAACAAATTGTTACATAATTCACTGTGGCTTCACCAACTACCACAAACAAATGAAATAACTTTTTTTTTTTAAAGGATTTGTTCACTTAATGTACCAGATAATCACATATTCCTAATTGGACTAAAACTATTGTGTGAATTATATAAACCCCTCATTATTATCACCACCACAAATGGTGACTTATTGTTACAGTGTCCAACCTTTTTGTGGACATGTTCAGCATCTGGTATTCAGCATTTGGAGTTCAGCATCTGTAACAAATGGCAGGTGGTTACATCTTGCCTGTTAACACCATCCTTGTTGATTTGTAATCTGTGTTGTCTTGTTATATAGATCAAGGCTGAGCTCTATAAGGACTACATAGATGCATATTTTGGCGAGGAGACTTTCATATATATCCAGTTGTGTGAAATGAAAAGAGAGGATGACACAGGATACTACATTGTTGAACATGCTGTGCCATTACCTTATGTTTCTAGTTGTGAGTAAGTTTTCTTTATTCTTGACTTCAATAGTAGCAGAAATGGCCTTTAACTGGAGAATGAATATCAAATGATAAATAAATGATAAATGCAAGTTAGATATATTTATAATAATCTGAAAACATAGGATCAAATCCTATGCTAAGGGACTTACACATAAAACTATGTAATTCCAATTCTGAATGAACTGCTGAATTTTGATTGGATTATCGCTAATTTAAGGAGTGTATGTGAACCTCACTTTTAAAGAAGCAAAATTCAACTTGTAAAAAGGATGTTTTGTCAATTGCGTAGAAAGTTCAATCATAAACATAAAACTTGATACACCAAACAGGCCCGTTGCCAGGATTTCCAAAGGGGGGGTTCAGTTTTCACAAATTTCCAGGGGGGAGGTTCACATTTGACAATTTTGGCCCAAACATGGCTAAAATCACTTGAGAAGTGCTCAAAATGGTGAAAAACTGCATGAATTTGAAAGAATTTTTGGCCAGGGGGGGGGGGTTCGGCCGAACCCTGCGAACCCCCCTGACTACGGGCCTGCCACAAGTACCAGGTAATTGAGCAAAGATTTCTTGAATCAGAAAGCAATTAAATGTTATGTAAGATCTCATAAGAAATGTTGATGTTGCTGCAATCTGCAATGTAACTTAATTACAGGATTAGCTATTTCTGATGTTTACTTCTGGTTTTAATTTACAGTTCATTGTATGTTGCACACCTATGCTACCCTTTTCAAAAGTTTGATCTTTTTTCTTGAAAATTGAGCTTTGTATACGACACTCTTTGAATAAGATATAATGTTTTGATCTAGCTTCCCAATGGGAATAGCAGATACAGATATTCCTTCATAAGTAGCTGGTATTTATTTAATACTCAAACTCCAACAGCTACCTATTAAGGGTCATTAGAATCTCAAGATCATTAAGTTAAGCACCAAAACTGTAACATTAATCAGAGGGTTGTTACTAGCTTCTAGGCTTAAGGGTATTTGCGAACATACGTAGCGGGAGTTTCATTCAGCTTTGAACCAGTACTAGTACTCAATATTTGAGGTACAGTATAGTGAATACTGTCAAGTCAACTTTAAAGTTTGAAAATATAGTTTTGAGTACTTTACATCAAACAACAAACCTCAATGCACATAAGGATAAGAGTAATCTGGGACCAGGATCAATAAACCATGATTGGATTGTAAATAGTAAAAAATAACACTGGATTGTCAAAACTCACACCATTTGATTAAAAGCTCTTTCATCATTTATTTGTTCAAATATGGAGAACACGTTTGATTGCATCAATGAAGGTATACATTTCATGTATTTTTTTAGTGTAGTATGTTCACTACTATAAAGGGTTGAGTGTAATTTAGAACTGAATAAATATTTAAGTTGTGGTATTTTGGCCCTTGGCAAGTGTCAAATTAACATTTGCCTTATGTACGTAAGTTGATGTGTAGCATATCTACAGGTCCATAGGGATATTTCAAATAATATAGAGAATGACAGGTATTTTAAACTTATCATCAATAATAATCTTAAAGTTAAGAATTGACTAATTATTATTAGATACATGTATATGCCCTTAAGAGTGTACATTTGGTTTTAATAGTCAAACAATTTAGATATTCAGATTACTGTATTTGGTATATGCATGTATGAAAAATATGTATATTTTGAATTTTAAAACTTAATTTCAAATGACTATCAGATTGATCAGTGTATCATTTTATTTCTAGTGTATGTAAGTAAATAAATTAAATGAATTAATAAACATTGAGTGGGGATATTTTCCAGTGGACTTCTACAACTTTTTGTCTCCTAATTTAAAAAAAAAAATCAGTTATGTTTTTCAGAAAAAATGTCTCAAAATTAGGTTTGGCCAATTGTACATGTACTGTGTGAATATTAAACCATGTACTTGTAATGATATTACTATGGTTGCAGGCTCTAATAAGAAGATGGAGACTACAGCATCCCACTGTGAAGAATCATTGGTAGCACGATTCATGAAAAACAAAACATTTGTAGTCAAAGTGGACAATATATTGGAATTTAAAGATGTCACAAAATCTCTAGACACTATAGCAAATAAAGCTGAAACTGAACTGCTGAAAGATACAGATATTGGAAAGAAACACTGACACAAATGGAAGAAAAAGTCCTAAATATTTTATGTTATTTACTATTTACAGAATATCGTAGAACTTATACTCTCATACATTGGATATGTACCCAGGGATAGATATGAGAGTCACGCTGATTCAGAAAAATCATTACATGGATACATTTTTCTTTAAATCCATGGAAAAACATAATATTATTGCATGTTCATTTATAGTACTGATCTTAATATATTGACTAAGGTCAGCTTAATAGAATGATTCTTAAAGCTGTATAGCTTAATCTGATGCAATAGTCACCTGACTTTGACCACATATCCATGGTGGATTTTACACCTTATATAATATAAGCTACAATGTCTGGTACGTTCCTTTTAAAACATTGAACTTAAAAAATTGTACATACTAGTAGTATTAAAAATCTGTTTTGAAAAATAAATAATGAAGTGTTTAAATTAAATTATAAATTGTTAAGACTAATATTTAATCATTAATATCATTTGAGAACTGTTTATAATACACAGGGTGCGATAGAATGCTATTGATTGGAGCATGACATTTTACTACGAAATAGCAATAATTTAGCACAATTCATTTTTGACCTTGAAATATACTTTAATTTTGACAAAATACAGTACTTCATGCAATGTCAATTTCATTCATAATTTTGTAGGAATTCTGTTGGAACCCAGTCCTGATCAAATATGAAGTAATTGAAAATGGCGCAGACCTCCTTTACTCCAAAAGATCGTTTTTATGTCACAACCTGAAAGCAGTGACATACATGTATTGTTATTAATTTCATTTTTGTGGTGCCAATTGGCATCTGGCTGTTGGTGGTTGGTGTTTGGCGTCTGTAAAAAATCTTACAACTTCCAAGAAATGAACGAAGTTTGGTAGGGATATAGTGAAGCCGTCTGTCTGTCTGTCTATCTGTCTGTCCATCCGTCCATCCGGAAGATAACTTGAATACTAGTCAAAGGATTTTCTTTATATTTGGTGGAAAGATGTTTATTGGTGAATAGTTTAACGCCCAAATTTTTTTTTCAAGATGGTCGCTTTAAAAATTGCAGGAATTTCTCACAAAAAATCTTATGTTTTTCATTTTAAACCAAAGTAATAAATATTATTTGAAATGTTTTTGAAGTATAGCTTTTTTATTCCCAAATGAAAGGCAATTTAAGGTGCCATGATACTAAACAGGAAATGACGAAACAGGAAGTGACAAAAAATTCTGCATTTTTAGACATTTTTTGAACAAAGATAACAGAGTTCTCTTTAGACCTCCAGTCAATTTAACTATTTCCACATATCATTTACATGACCAGGATCACAATGTGCATGGTCAGAATGACCCTTAACATGATGAAATAACCTTTTCAGCCCTTTGAAATTCGCGACTGAAAAATAGCTAAAAGTAGGAGCTAGGGAAGGTCACTGAACAGAATCTTTTGAATTTTTCAGAAAATTTGCCCAATATAATGCTCTAACTGATACATTCTTTGAAATTTTAGAAAATTGTCTGAAACAAAAATGGCGGTCATAAAAAGGAAAATAGATCGCTTTTCAAATCAGTTTTTTTCATTTTTTTTCAAAGATGGTATCATTTAGAGCAATATATTGGGTACATTTTCTGAAAAATTCAAAAGATTCTGTTCAGTGACCTTTCCTAGCTCATACCTTTAGCTATTTTTCAGTCGCATTTTCAGAGGGCTGAAAAGGTTATTTTATCGGGGTTCGCGCATTATACCGAAACCCATTATACCGACGCGCATTATACCGAAACCCATTATACCGACGTGCATTGTACCGAAAGGCGTTATACCGAATGCCATATATCACTGTTCCACAACTAGTTACTTTGACGGAACGTCAATGTAACAAAATGGATGAATTTAACGATGTTCCATGCGTTCTATTTTCATGATTCAAGTACTACTTTGAGGGGCATAGTAATAAAAAAATTATCATCTAAAATGTCGTTAAACACAAAAAATGAAATTGGTCCGTCTAATAACCGAGAAATCAAGCATTATGTATTCTACTTTAAAACACGATTTTACAAACCAAAGGTTTACATGCATTTATTCATCGTGGTAAAGCATGGCTAGCCACACGTTAAGCACACCATTAGAAAGTTATTTTTGCGATTTTATATATCATAATGATATTTACCAGAGCAAAATAGAATTAAACCTTAGAATGTCAATGATACACCCTGAAAGGATGTGGTACGTCCCTGCTCAACGCATTCCCAAAAAAGTCTGATTCTATAGAATTGACCCTATCCATATAAATGGAAAAATAGATGGCATCATGGGTATAGGTAGGGCTAAATAACATGACAAGAGTCACTTATTTTCTTGATTTAACAAGTAATTCCATTTGAATCAACTTAAAACACCATTAGAATGTAACTATATGGTATTATTGACATATGGATTGTGATTTCATATTAAAATTGTAATCCTTGTAAGAGTAAATGAACTTTTGAAGGTTTTTCAACATTGTGTCAATTGGGGATTTAGCCTGACCATTTTTAGAAAACTTAAAATCTCTAGAATTTGAATAAAGGTAAATAACAGTGCAAAAACTAAGTTGTTTTGATAGAAAATTACACACAGAATTCAAATAGAAGAAAATGTTAGTCTTTAGTGGTTAAAAATACAGATCTCCTAAAATCTCTTTAAAACGAGACCTTAACGAGATTTCAAAGCTATATGGAAAAGCCACTCTCTGTACTTGTGTCCGTGCCTCATTTTGAGTAGCGAGTGTAAATTATTTTCGGAAACATGATTACGTTTTCCCTGTAATATGAATTGGAGATGTCTGACAAAATATGGATAGCCTAAAATATAAATTTTGTGTTTTTGAACATGCGGAAATATCTTAAACACTTGAAGTACAGTTCCATAATAGGTTGTTCAGTTTTCTTGTTTTTGTTCTACACAACACTTATGTTTAATAGCCACGCGTAATTATTAATAAGCGTAATCAGATTATTTCAAGTCGAAATAGCTTATTTTCCTCGACGTATCTACACAAATCTATTCACTTACCGTTATATTGAGCGATCTAGATGCGTCAATATTATAATTGTTTTAACTCATTGGCTTTAGTGGCCCGCGATACCTTTTACCCGTATTTCATTCATTTGAGACGCAATTGATATATTGGCAACAAATCAAATGTTCTAAATGATTCTTCTTCAGTTTGGAATGTTTCTCCTACCCGATATTCAAAGATGTGCCTTAAATATTATACTTTACATTGATCACGATTCTTGTACATCTGTCTCTACGACATTTGCAAGAGTTGTTGATTGCATTGCCTTGATCGTTGGTCGAACTTCGATTCCAAATAAATCAGATGTTTATCCAAGCAAATAATTGTAACAACTACATTATTTTTTAGCAGTTTTGACACCTAAGCAGGGTAGCCTAGTGGCGTAGACTGAGGCTACTTTGCGGTTGAACGTCGTGGGATACGGAGGTCCCGCGTTCGAGCCCCAGGTACGGAGTTGTTGATCATTGTCACTACGGACACCCGGTCCGAAGGTCCAACCGTTTACCGGCCCTTGGCATGGGTTGGTTCTCTGGCCGCTCTTGCCGGAGACAGATTGTGAGACTGTGGTTGGTTCCTCCACTAACGTGCTTTAGTAAACTCCGGGAGTCATATAGTATGGTAGCGGGCCCCCACCAAGGACAGTAGTGGAACGACGCGAATCGGTCCCAGTATGGTTGCCTTGCAACTGAAGAGACTCGAGGAAATCATGCCATTCGCAGTGACCCAGAAAAGACTTTTGCTTCTTAATTTGACGTTTTAATTCATTTATTTACATACTTTATTCATATTACTTTCCAGGCAGTTATGATTTTTATTGGTCAAATGAATGAACGAGACATAGTGTATAGATACTATTAAATACATCTAGATAGTATCAAAACCATAATTCGATTTGTCGGACATATAGATAAAAGAACAAATGAAAACACAACACACAATATCAATATCAATTGCAATATCAAAATCAAATTGAGAATCAGATGACCTGCTAAGTCTAGTATTGATATAGATATTAAAGGGATCATTTTAAACTGCCAATTAAAACTTGCTGTATTCAATGTTTCAAAATAATCAAACTGAAATATTGGGGAAAATAATTGATATTTCGTTTGTGGAATGAAAACTGATGATAGAGATAATATCAGTAGCCAAAAATTATAAGCAATTTAAACATGGAAATGATGCCAATTTAGAAGTATTATATGAAAAAAAATGTTTGTGAAATGGTTAGAAAATGAAATAACTTCAGAATTAATGGGATCATTGAGGCACACATTGATAAAAATCACACTTGGATTTGGAAAGATTTAAAGTAAAACAAATGAATGCGTTTCTCCATGACAACATATCTTGCTCTCTCTCCATGACAACAAGTTTTGGCCCCATCAGCACAAGATCGAAAATATAGTAATTATCAAATTAGAAATGTGAAACTAATTTATATTTAATAGCACAATTATTTATTTCTACCAATGAAACAATACAGTATAAATAAATGTTTCTTCATTGAATACAGAATTTACCACAGTTAAATATATTTTATGAAGTACAGGGTTTACCATAATCAAACATAAATAACAGAATTATGACTTTATCCTCTATGAAATACAAAAATTGATGGTTAACTGGAATTAAGTTTGTTTAGACGACCCCTCAATCTGAAACGCCTAGCATCAGTTAAAAAATTCTGGCCGCAGCTGAGATGTTCAAAGATTTTAAATTAAGCTTCATCTGAAATTGCGCGATAAACTTTTAATTGAATATGAATATATAAAAAAACAGATTAACATCCAGTCTCATATTAAAAAGTTGAAAGTTAAAATATTGTGGAAGTAAAATAAAAATGAATTTTTTAATTTTGAAGACTTGTCTGTTCAATGAAAACATGTATAATTTAAACCAAGGTGTATAATAAAGTAATATATAAACTATCTATTTTATATGCTGATACAGTAGAATTTTTCTTGGCTTTTCAACATAGCACCATATTTGACTTTTCAGGCTCCACTTTTATTATTCTATGCCTATATAATGTTACTGTGCACTATCATACATGTGCATTATCATGTGTCTACATGACGTTTTGAAAGAGTATAGAGCTAGATTCAAAGCACCGTTCTTGCGAGTTTCAAATGAAAATATTGAAAAACGCGCGAGTATGAGGACCGCAACT